TCTTTTCTTTATATGTTGTATAAATACACGTCAAAATAATTTCGCATATTCATTCAGTTCGTTATAAAAAATTGTGAAAAAACAAGCACGATTTTCAGGTAATCTGGCATTCTAGTCCCCTTAAGCAGGAATATATCAAAATTTTCAATATAGAATGTATAAAGGGCGTCTGACGATAACATAGAAAACTTGTATAGATTAGGTTAAACTGAACAAAACCTTTACCTTTACCTTTTTTAGCAGAGGAACTTTTTGTTTAACCTAATCTAAATCAATTGAAGAAGCCTGGTAAATCATGTGCGTGATTATTCGCCAATTTTCTTTAATTAATAACTCAAAATTTTACGCGGTTGTTAGCAGAACGGTAGGGGACTTTTCTGTTCAGTTTGACTTAATCTACACGAGAGTTTTCATTGAGCACATCTTGTAAATATATATTGAATATATATCATATGTTCTACGTTGAAAGTTTAAATGTTCGTGGTTAAAGACCAAAACACTAAGAATGTCCAGAGTCGGGTTACCAATGTTTACTGGTGTCCAGGCATTTGTACCTTTACCTTGTACGTCTCGCTTAGTCTCCTTGAGGAAGGAAACAAGGAGGGAAAGCAAGATCAGCACGTGTGAGACCCACGCGGGTTCTTATCCGCAGGGTCCGTCGCGTTCGAATGAAAATACGAGCCTTCGCGCGATCGCCGTGAGATAGGACCGGCGGCTTTCGGGGGCTCTCTGCCAAAATACGTATTTCGCACGGCGTGGTTCTCGCGCGAGCCCGTTTATTGCTTTTCTCAGAACGAGAGATTGCGCCAAGGCAAGGCCGATGAGTCGCGGAAAGTGGCATAACTCATCTCTCTCGAGGCGCGCGCTTTTATACGTTCGAACCGGCCCGTCGACGTGTCGCGAGCACGTGTCAATTAAAGAGCCCAGGTGCACAGTCGCGTGGAGTCTTGGTTTCGTCTGGACAGCCGGTCAATCGCGAGATTACCGTCGTTGATCCCGCTGAACCCAGAACATCCGTCGCTCGTCTGTCGATCTCACCCGGTGGATCTCTCACCCCCGTTATCATGGGGATTTTTAGTGTCTTTTAGCACGAACTTTCAACGTAGAACATACGAGTATATATTCAACATATATTTACAAGGTGTGTCCAATGATTACATGTAAAACTCTCGTGTAGATTAAGATAAACTGAACAGAAAAGTCCCCTACCGTTCTACTGACAACCACGTAACATTTTAAATTATTAATTGAAGAAGATTGGCGAATAATCACTCATATGGTCATTCGCCAGACTTCTTCAATTAATTTAGATTAGGTCAAACTGAACAAAAGTTCCTCTGCCAAAAATGGTAGAGGAAACACTACTACGTAATTTTCTATGTTATCGTCAGACGCCCTTTATACATTCTATATTGAAAATTTAGATATATTCCTGCTTAAAGACTAAAGCAATGAGAAGAGTTAGAGTCATGGCATACAGAAAAACGTAAGCAGTAAGCAAATTGACCAATCACAGTCGCTGATTTTTCTTACGGAACTAAGAATCAACGATTATGATTGGTCAATTTGCTTACTGCTTAAGACTTAGTTTTTCTATGTGCCACGGCCCTTAGACAGTGCTATGAGTGTCCAGGCATTGGCACTTTTGCCTTAATCTCGAGGTTCCAGGTTTGTCTGAAATGATCATTCGAAAGGGTCACTCGCGGTAGTCATACGCGCGTTTCGCGCGGATCTCGTCCAAAAGGAATAATTTGCGGGAGATCCGTCCGAGTGTCCGCGGAATTAGGTCGGAATCGCGCGAAAATATCGCTAATCGCCGCGGACGGGATTGCGAGTCGGATTTGCGAGACGGCGAGGGATGAGAATCGAGAAAGAGAGGATATAAAGGGAGTAGAGAAAAGAGAGAAGTCGCTTGCGTAATCCTGGTCGGCGCATATGTGTGCCGATCGCCCGCGGCGAGCCGAGACCTTGCCGGCGTGCATGAGAACTGGGCCGCGCCGGGCCCGTCGTGTGTCCATCGGGGCCCGATCGGGACCTCTGAGTCGACGGACCTAGACGATACGGACGACGCCGCCGAGTCTGCGATGCCCCGCATACCGAATCAATCCGGACGATCGAGAAGAAGGCTCTATTCTTGCGGACTTGAGAAGAGAGAACGCCTATCTTGCTTTGTTTCTCTGACGTATCTGTAGTTGCGATTCAATTGAAAAACTCTCATCTAACTCTAGTAGCGAATTCGATTGGAAGCATCAGTGCACACTAAGGCTAATTCATAGTCTGTTTTCATCTGTGTTTATAGAGTTTTATCTTACATTTAAAATCGTTTTATATTTCTCTTCGGATGCTATATAAATTGTTACACTAATTACGGAGCATTCGGAAGCGAATTTAAGACAATCTTAACTCTTATAGTGCCGAATAACGATATATCGTTGTTAGCAGCACTTGCGAAAAGTGCCAACGACGATATATCGTTGCGCATACGATGCTGCCGGACTAATTTTATAAGACGTTACAAATGGTTGAATTTCTCCTCAGAAATTTTTTTTAAGCCCTATCAAACTAATTTGGTCCGGTATTTTACGCTTAGGTACATTTTTTCCGGTCGACACTAAAAGGGTTAAATATAAAAACAGACTATGAAACGACCTTAGTATGCACTGGTGCGCACTAGTGCTTCCAATCGAATTCGCCATAAATTGAAATTTGAGTATCTCACTTGAGAGACGAGTTTCAAGTAATGACTATTAATACGGGTCTAAATTATTATTTTGTTTGTATCAACATTTTTTTCTCGATTATACCCGTAGTGCTACACGGGAAAAAAATCGTCTGAATTAACCCTTATTGTGCACTGTGGGATCAAATAGACCCCAGAAAAAATAAATAAAATAAAGTAAATCTATAAAATAAAATAAACCTATATAGTTTGGAAAAACTGTTTACTTTTTTCACAAAAATCTTAATTTCGATATTCAAAATAAATACCTTTTTTGAAAATCCTGCTATTGTACTAATTTTTTTCTTAAAGAGATATATCTTGAGAGTAATTTCTTAAAATTTTACCTTGAAATATCAAAAATTATGTCAGTAATGATGTTTGGAGCAAGTCAAGTCATTTTTCGCGTTTTTTAGATTTTCCAATTTTTTTTCTTCATTTAAAATCAAATTTCGTCTAGAAAAATTATTTCATCATATAAAAAGATATTTGAAACATATCTTTGAATTTTTTCAAATAAAATAAACGAATAATTTTATTGCAGCAAACATTTTTGTAGCTGGGGTTGCGAAAGACCCCAATATGCCTATTATGTGTCTATTGAAGTGTGCACAATAAGAGTTAATAAAATATCTGGTGAGATACGAACGAATCAGAAATTCCGGGTCGAAGTTACCAGAATTCTGCTCAAGTTAACCAGACTTCTACTTAAGAACTGTCCAACTTGAAACGGTTGCAAGTTCTGGTTAGCCAGAAATCTTGTTGTCTCGAACTGGATTCTGATAACTTCAACTGGAATTCTGATTCGCTCATATTTGGTTAATCCAATTAAACTTTCTTTTTCCATGCATATTTAGATGCTAATTAAAACTCTTCGTCCTAACGGGAGGAACTCTTTAACATATGTAAATGGAATAAATTATCGATTAATGATAAACCAATTCACAAATAAACAACTTGAATTTCATGTAACTCGCGCCGCGCGCACGCACATATTACGTAACTTGACATACGCGCGTGAGTTCCTCTCAGGGGCGTTTCTACGGTAAACGAACTGTTCATCCGCTTATCCGACAAGGAGAGTCGAACGTGCTCGCGAGATGGTCCCTCAAATCGTTCGTGCGATCTGCGTAATTACACAGCGGGTACGCAAGGGGAATTACAAGCAGGCGTTTACGCACTGCCGACGAGATTATCAAAAGGCCCGCGTCGTCTGCTCGTTAGGAAATTTGTTCGAGATAAATTCGCGACGTCCGCTTCGTCTGACCAGAACGCGCGACATGGGCACCGCGCGATTGCGAAAGAGAGTTTAGAAATTTTCTCACGAATAGGAAAGCGCGGAGCTCCCGCGGCGATCGAGATCGCTTCTAATGTGAGATACGATGATAACGCGGCGTGACATGATCGCAAATTACGAGGTAATAATCCGCGAATGTGGAAAACTGAGGGAAAAATTATCTTAAAATCAACAAATATTTTTTTTTTATGGATGTCATTAACATATTTACTTAAATCTAAATTCTCTTTATTTAAATCAAATATTGTTTACTTGATTTAAGTAAACAATATTTGGTTTAAATAAAGAGAATTTAGATTTAAATAAATATGTTAATGGCACGCATCAAAGAAATATTTGTTGATTTTAAGGTAATTTTTCCCTCAGTGTATAAACCCCAGTAACTAAGGTGACCAGACGTCCCGATTTTTTCGGGACAGTCCCGATTTTTCACCCTTTGTCCCGAATTGTTTCGAATGCTATTCGGAATACCGATTTATCGTCATTTTCAATGATTGTCAAATAATTTTCGGATCTTTTTATCCCTTCCCCTCGCTTCACACATTTATAAAGTCTCCCGATTCAGGGCTGGGAAAACTAGCCACCTTACAGTAACACACTTCAGTGACGTTGCATTGGCCTAACATTGGTTACATTGGCATACATTGTCACCAATATAGTCACTATATAGCCCAATATTGCTTGTAAATAAAATGTGAATAAATTGCCAATATTGCACAACATAATTGTACCAATATTGGCATACATTGTGGGTACATTGGGTCAATACAATCCAATATGTAGTCAATATTAATAACAAATGAATTGCCAATATTCGGAATTCTATATAAATGCAATGGACTATAAAATTCAAGGCGTCTACTTTGCTAGGATAATGCTAGGATAATATTGAGACTAAACTTGTAGCCAATATTGTTCTAATAAACTGTGCTACTAGAGAAGATTCGTTTCTCTAACGTTAATAACATGATTCTCAAATTGCAGGCTTTGGGTCCGATCTCCGGCTGTCACGTAAATCCGGCTGTGTCGTTTGGTCTGCTGGTCAGCGGAAACTGCACATTTCTCAAAGCCATTAGTTACATGGTGTGCCAATGTTGCGGCGCCATCGCAGGCTCCGCGGTCCTCAAGGTATGCACATGGAAAGAAAAATTTGGCTGAATTTTAATAAGAATTGAGAATACATAAAAAAACTAGACTGGTGAGATATGAACGAACCATATTTTTAGTTAAAGGTAATCAGATTTGGTTACGGGTGTTTGGTTAAAGTAATCGGACAAGTTTGGTTACTTTGACCAAACCAAACAAAATTACATTCCTTAGGGTCGGTTCTTCAATAGCAGTTTAAACTTGGATTCAAGTTTAAACTCTATTCTAATAATGCGTTTGTTTTGTTTAAACAGAGTTTAAGTTGAAATCTAAGTTTAAACTATCATTAAAAAACCGGCCCTTAGAAATGTTATAACTTTTTTTACTGAAAATTGTTTTTTAAGGTGTTAGTATGTAATTATTTTTGCAATTTAATTGATTTAATGTTATATTTAGAGAACCCTCCGTTTTTTCCGTGCGAAATTACCGATTCATCCTTCGTGAAATTCGAGAAAATTCGTCTAAATTTAGAAACCTCGTTGCTTCGAGAAGAAAACCTTGTCCCTTTTCTCTCTTTTTTTTTTTAATTACCTGGCAGAGAGTTGGCCGTATTGCATAATTGATAAAACGCGCTCTCGTCTGACGATCGTCGGTGTCGTGTATTCGTATGGACGACGTATTCATTTAAGAACGCTTACGCTGCTTACACGTAATCGTAATGATTGTCCGGCCGAAGCGTGAAATTGATCGTTGATAGCCTGTCATTTTGGTGATCGCGCGCAGTGCGGCTCGCAAAAGTGCGGTTCGCCCGTATCAATTAAATCGCCGTTGCGCAAGGTCAAGGTTTACTCTCCTCGAGATCCGGGGCGCTCCGTCGCGATCGTGTACACGCACACCTATTACATCAGAGGGACTGGCTGCGGTCGGCTGGACGAATCGTGCGCATTCTCGCACGTGCGCGCAACTCCGTACGTGTCGTTTCGACTAGTGTTTTGCCGAGATAGAGAGGCTGATTTGTGTTATTTTCGCGCCACGACTTACAATTGCTCACAGTTGCGCGACCCTGAGGAAAAAAAACACCGTTAAAACATAGGAGAGTCGATGTTCGAGACGCAAGATAAAAATACTAATGACCCTGAGCTCTAATAACACCAGCACCTAATTCTGGGCATTCTTATTGTCTTGGTCTTTAGACACACTGAAAGAAAAAGTGGTAGTGTTAATGAGACTTTGCTTGAACGAATTTTGTTCGTTCAAGCAAACGTTTAGTCGACTGAACGGATTATATCGTTGTTGCGCGAACGAGTTCGCAGTATATATATACTCATTATTATATATATACAGGGTTGGCAAAAAGTCCGGAAGTGGTCAAATATCTCGAAAAGGATCAACTGTAGCGAAAAATATGTAAGTAGCAAAGTTGTAGGGCTTAATAAAATGTACCTAATGATGGCTAAAAATTTGACTTTGGGTGGAGGACGAAGGTCATACGAAGGTCAAATTAAATTTTTTAAATTGGACCCCCACTTTTGATTACATATTCTTGTAGCTTATTTGTGTGTGTGTGAAGGGCTTTCTAAAAACCTATAATAAAGTATTTTTTTATTTAGAGTTATGAGGCTTGAAAGGATTTTGGTCTTTAACTGTTTCTGTTTCGTAAACACGTATCACTGTCTTCTGAACGGTGGATTTAGAAATAAAATTGCGATCAGGATATGCAGCATTGAATGTGTAGATCAGTTACTTCTTCGTATGATCTAATATGGTCTCCAAATTTTCGATAAAGAAACAACACTATCTTTTCTTTATCGGTTAACATTTTTAAAAAAGAAATTTGAAATTGTAGTTGGAAAAAGAAAGGGAAAAGACAAAGAGTAAGATGCGAGAGAGCACGACTCGTTCTTAAAATACAAAGATCAAGAAGCGTTATCGTGAAGCGCGGGTATACGCAAGTTTTGACTGAGTACGTGTGATATTACGTCGTGAATGAATAACCGCGTTCGATGAGAGCGAATGAACAACTAAGCCGGTCATATCGTCTAGCTCGAGACACGAAAAACAAAGTTATTCTTGTTTTTCTCCTGTGTTTATGTTTTTTAGGCTCCCAGCCTAGTTGTTCATTCGCTCGCATCGAACGCGGTTATTCATTCACGACGTAATATCACACGTACTCAGTCAAAACTCGCGCATACCCGCGCTTCACGATAACGCTTCTCGATCTTTGTATTTTAAAAACGAGTCGTGCTCTCTCGCATCTTACTCTTTGTCTTTTCCCTTTCTTTTTCCAACTACAATTTCAAATTTCTTTTTTAAAAATGTTAACCGATAAAGAAAAGATAATGCTGTTTCTTTATCGAAAATTTGGAGACCATATTAGATCATACGAAGAAGTAACTGATCTACACATTCAATGCTGCATATCCTGATCGCAATTTTATTTCTAAATCCACCGTCCAGAAGACAGTGATATGTTTTTGCGAAACAGAAACAGTTAAAGACCAAAATCCTTTCAAGCCTCATAACTCTAAATATGCCTAATAAAAAAATACTTTATTATAGGTTTTTAGAAAGCCCTTGAAATAAGCTACAAGAATATGTAATCAAAAGTGGAGGTCCAATTTAAAAAATTCAATTTGACCTTCGTATGACCTTCGTCCTCCACCCAAAGTCAAATTTTTAGCCATCATTAGGTACATTTTATTAAGCCCTACAACTTTGCTACTTACATATTTTTCGCTACAGTTGATCCTTTTCGAGATATTTGACCGTTTCCGGACTTTTTGCCAACCCTGTATATATATATATTTTTTTTTACATTAAAAGCTTAAATTTAAAAACCAAAACGATAAGAATATTCAGAGTTAGGTATTGGTGCTATTAGTATCTAGGTATCGGTACTTTCATCTTAGCTGAAAGAATACCTTTGCTCCTGCGAAATGGTCAAGTTCTTCGTCGAATTTTTAACACGAAGTGTTTCTTTGCAGTTGATAATGCCAGCAGCGCAAACATCATACGGCCTAGGCGCTACAATGCTGGGGCCCGGCGTGACGATCGTCCAGGGTATCGTAATGGAAGCGATTATCACGTTCCTACTGGTGCTGGTGGTGCACGCGGTCACAGACCCGAAGCGCACCGACACGAGAGGCTGGGCCCCGCTGGCGATCGGTCTGACGATCTCGGCGGCCCACATGGCGGCGGTGCCGTTCACGGGCAGCAGCATGAACCCAGCGAGAACTCTGGGTCCCGCCGTGATCGACGGCCAGTTCAGAAACGTCTGGATCTACTGGGTGGGTCCGATCGCCGGCGGCTGTACGGCTGGTGGCGTCTACAGGATGGGTCTGAGGTCCAACAAGGAAGACGACGAGGCCTCGTACGACTTCTGAGGATAACATATGACTCGCAGGGATGAAATCCACACGCGAAAGACGAAACGAGAAGAAGAGTCTCTCTTTCCTATCTTCTTAATCAAGAAATTATAAATTAGAAGTATTTTTCTGAAACGCAGACAAAAGAAAGACTTTGGTTATCATGATCGGCGCGATCGTCATAATTCGATCGCGTCGATCAAACTCTATCGATGTTAGTCGAGGTGATGTGTAAATTTTACGTCCGTTATTTTGTACGTCGCCTTTCTCTGAGTTTTGTATATATTGTACCTAAAGTAGCTCGTAGCGAGATCGAATGTATTATCTAGCAATTTAGTCTAAAACTTAATAAGTAGCTTACAGTGCACCTCGCGTGCAAATGATACAAATGAAGGCATTAACAAATATACTTATTTTTTGTCATCAGTACTGTGCGCGCATATGCGTCTGTTTGTTTGTCTGTGTACGAATTTTTTACTCGTCCCTCTTCTCCGTCAGTTTCCTTGAGTAATACCGATGTTAATGCTAATTTTAGATACCGGTAGAAAACTTACATCGCCACTCTCACTACATCGGCGAACACATCACAGTGAATTCCTATCATGCTCCCGCACCTACACACTAAAATCGACGGCCTCAAAATAGCGCACTCCGAAATAGTCGTGCATGGTTCTCGCTAGAGCCAGACGCATCGCCAGCCAGTACATTTCGAGTCATCGACCGTCAAACGACGTTTCGCTCGAACGTGAGAACGTGTCGTGAAATTAATAATAGTTTATCTCACATTGTTGAAGAAATGAGTCTTCGTTAGTCAACGCAAAGGCGTGATAAGTGATTTGATATCGGAGAGATGTCAGCTAATGAACCGGAGGCGGAAATCGCCGAATTTTTCCGCTCGAATCTCGTGGCGGTGCGGAAGGCAATCTCCCAGCAGGACTTTAAGAAATTCGCCGCTATCGAATCGGATGGCCAGAGGGTAGCTTTCGTCTTAAGCTACCCCGAGGCCCATCGACTATCCCTCGTGATGGAGAGACCGATGATCAAGGACAGCGAGGCTGCCGCTGGATTAAAGAACGTCGGAAACAAATTCTTCGGTCGGGGCGAATTCACGAAGGCCTTGGAGACTTATTCAAATGCAGTCCTTTTGGCGCCGTCGGCAGGTAGATGAGCGAAAACCAGATGCGTAGAATGTCCCTCCTAAAATATCGGTTGTATAATGTAAATTTTTTCGTGTTGCTATTATCATTATTTTCTTGATAATCTTTACTAGTTCTTAAGAAATAGGGATACTTTTTACTTGAACAAAATTTAACACTTTGACAAATCGTGCTGCCGCGATTATCGCAGCGTTATGTATTATCAATTTAGCTAAATCATTTAGTTTTAAATTATTTAGTCATTAGCTTTAAATCATTTAGTTTTTATCCTGAGCGATTCTGAACGTAGTTGTGGATCTTTAGAATTGAGCATCATCCTGGCGAACCGCTCGGCCGCGTTGTACCATCTAGAGCGTCACAAATATGCATTGGAGGACATCGAGGAGGCCTCGCGTCTCGGTTACCCAAAAGACCTCTTCTACAAGCTTGAAGAGCGACGTGCTCGATGTCTGCTAGGCTTGAAAAGGCATGACGAGGCAGTCGAGGCCTTTAGGCGAACCCTCGGAGCACTGGATGATGCCAAAGTGTCTTCAGAGCGCAAACAGAGGTTCGAAGCGGACATCAGGATAATGCTCGCGGTGATGGACAAAGGCAAGCAACTCAACGAGACTGCAAAGACGAAAAACGTTTTGCGAGTGAATGGCAAGCAGAAGTCTAGTATGCAGAAGGGCGAAGAGAGGATTCACAGCATGTTTATTCCTGAGAAGAGAAGAAATCCTTCGTATCCGGCTTGCAGTAAAGCGGTGGAGATCAGGGACGATGGCGGTGATGTGGGAAGACACGCCGTAGCGACCAGAGAATTGTCACCCGGCGAAATCGTGATCGTGGAGCGACCACATTGCGCGTCTCTGTTGGCGGAGAACAGGTTGTTATAGTTGTTCATTATTCTCTGAGCAATTCATATACGTCGTTTTACACGTAAAAGGCGCGAAGAGGAATAATAGCTAAGCACACGACGTACTATTTTCAAGGCTGACACATTGTCATCTCTGTTTCGCGAGGATATTCGTGCCGGTCCCGGCGGCTTGCCACACCTGCAGGTGCGTTGCGTACTGCAGCCGTCGTTGCAGAGACGCAGATGCCCAAAAGCATTTGAGGGAGTGCAGGCTGTTGCCAGTCCTGTGGCATTCGAAGGCTTCGGTCACGTGTTTCCTAGCCTTGAAGGCGATCACGCAGCGATCCTTCGAGGAAGTCATGGAACTGAAGAGACGTCTCGGGGATGCCGCGAGCGCGTTCAAAATCTCCCCGGAGAATCCGTATCTAGGAGACGACTATATAACGTTTTACAATTTAGGTGAGCGTATGATTGCAAACACAAAGACTGATAAAATACCGAAGCTTCTTACGTCTTACATACTTGGACAGTTACCCACGAGGACAAAAGGTTGCCTGAAGACATTTTTCACAGGGCTTGCATGGCAGCCTGGCTGTTCAGGCTGCTGAAAAGCAGCGATTATTTGCCGGAAAGTGTAAAAACCGCCGATTCGCCGACAAGCAGATTATCCGACGAGGAGTTGTTTATCGCCGGGTTGCTATTGCACAATTTGCAATTGTTGCAATTCAATTCGCACGAGGTAACGCGAGAAGCACAATAGAATACCTTATTATAAATTTTTATAATTCCAAAGTCTTTATATATAATTTCTTTCCGTAATGATACTATTCCAAGATAAAAGTTTGTAATTTTCGTTTCGCATTGCTATTTTATTGCAATTAGAGTTCCGCTTATAATTATTAGCTATATTGCTCGTCCTTCAGATTTCGGAACTAGTAAGACCGAAAGGAGAAACGACGCTCGCCAAGGCTAAGAGTATGTTCATTGGTGGTGGCGTTTACCCCACCGTGGCGATGTTGAATCACTCGTGTAATCCTGGTGTCGTAAGGTAACATATCGCTAAATTAATCGACTGTTAAATGCTTATATTAAAGGAAATTTTGAATAAGGAAAACGCTAATAGTCCTTTCTAAAAATCATCAGATACTTCATCGGCACCACCATGGTCATTCGTGCCATTCGTACGATCAGCGCTGGTGAAGAGATCTCTGAGAATTACGGTCCCATCTTTACAACCACGCCCGAGATTGAGCGAAAAAGAAGATTGAGAGTTCAGTATTGGTTTGAATGCAATTGCGAGGCGTGCACAGGGCATTGGCCGCTTTTGGAGGAATTGGATCCGACAATACTCAGGTACTTATCAACGCTATCTACACACATATTCAACATATGATTCAATTAATTACGAACTATTAATATAAATAAATAAATAAATATATATATATATATATATATATATATATATATATATATATATATGTGTTAAAATTAATTGAATAAATCAGCGATACTTGATACCTTTAATAAAAATGGACTCTTTTTCAGGTTTAAGTGCGAGACTGGACCGTCCTGCGGCAACGTCTTGCCAGTCAGGAGTGACGCAAACGAGTTTATGATCGGATGTGTAAAGTGCGGTAAGAATACAAATATTCTGAAGGGCTTAAAAGCTCTGCAGGACACGGACGCACTCTTCAAAGTGGCGTCGACGAATCTGGAGGAAGGTTGCAATGAGCAAGCATTGAAAGCCTACTTGGAGGTCTTGAAGCTATTGGATGAGACGTTAGCGTTGCCAATCAGAGATTATCACATTTGCCAGCAAGGAGTTAGACTCTGCGTTCTTGCTTTAGGCAACAAGGCATTTATTTAATTATAGCTAAATCTCAGATCTCCTGAGCAATTAGTTTTCTAAATTTCCATATTATATCGATCTTAAAATGCCCTCTTTATAGATTACTTGTTGCTTATCACATTTTCTATGCTGCTTTGTTTCATGATCAAATCAATGGAAACAGTGACACTCTCTCGAGCGTACAATAAAGAACGCCTACGTTTATTCGGTGCTTTATATTGGTACTTACGAACTCTGATACAGGAGGGATTCGTCGGCTAAGTTGAGTTATCGTTTACAATTTATTTGTCGTGTCTTAGTTTAATACAAAATAGTCATCAATAATATTACACATTCAAAGAAAAAGTTTTGATTGAACTCAGCTCTTTACTACACACCTGATAATTGTCACTTTAGCAAGTAAATGTTCCCTCGAGAAAGTGAACGATTTCATGTTACTGTTTTACATAAGACATATGTGTGTTCTCTGTCGTAATTAATTAATTTATAGATTTGACGCGCGCAATTATCTATGCATGTAAAGACGTGTAAGAACAAAATCAACTGCGAACGTTCGTATAAAATCGTGCGTTAATGTTGTCCGGTACACTTATATAATTCAATCAATCAAATGTTGTAAATGTTGTAAATATCTAAAACAAAAAAGTTTTTTTCCTTTACGCAACTAATAACACTAATAGCTTTGTCTTTGCTAAAAATATGCCAAGACGCGATAAATCTCAAAAGACACAGTGAAGTCTCTTTTTACGAGAGACACCACCGGACAACATTAATCCATTCAATTATGGATGTAGCCACTATATCTTTCAAAACATTTAATAGTAGCATGCATAATACCATTATGCGTGAAACTCTCTAAACTCCATGAGGCGAAATCTCACTCGAAGTTAGCGAAAAATGGCAATATTTTCACTAAGAATGATAGAGAAAATGCTGCTTGAGATCGCAAGAGTGTATCACTCTTGAGTGAGTGTCACTCAATCTTAGAGTGGATTCCGAATTTGTGTAAATTGTGTGGTGCTTTCATACAATTCTATATGAATATTTCAATCGATCGAAGAGAACGTTCCTTTCCTTCAATGGTAAAGTACATCAGATGTATTCTTCAATATTAGAGTAGAAATGTTCACTGAAGTGACTCGATGATGATACACTTTTCCCGAGTTCACTTACTCTTATTCTTACTCTTCAAAATCATTAAAAAGAAAGTATCGCAAATTGATCGCAACGTGAATGCTTCAAAGTCTTAAAAAAAAATGTTAGATCGTATCTTGCATATATCGTATATGCGTGTATAATATGCGTAATGTTACATGTTACAGTGTAAAACTTACGAAACACAAATACAGCCTAACATCAAAGTTACGCAAGATCTGCAATCGAAATAACTGTTGCTTCTCTATTTCTTTTTTTCCTTTTTAGCATTCGATTACGTCAATGCATATTCGCCAAACGTGCATGATGTACGAGTGCAAGTGCGTGTAACGTGATTGCATGTGGCTAAACGATTATGTACATACAAAATTGTCTTTCGCTTTATATCTTTTTTTTTCTTTGTCTTCTCTCCGGACGATTGTTAAGTCGATCCATTGTCTCTCGAACACTTTTAGCACCTAACTGGAATTAGATAAAGAATATACACTTAGAACAGGGGACGTAGCCTAGTTAAGTGCATTTTATCTTATCTTTTTGCTCTTTCTGACGCTCTTATCGCGAGAGGACGCTGCTCCCTGCGCGACGAATATCGAAATTGAGACTATCAAATTTAGAAAAATTTTTTCCCCAGCTCAATCACGCGAGCTTTCTTTTTGTCTATCCGATTAACTTTTATTCCACGATCTCGCCAATTTTTAAAAGTTTTCGTCTCCTTGGAGGCGCTTGTGAACATTGGATTTTATTTTTCATGGATATTTTTCTTTAATCATATTATATATATTATAGATATTTCTTTTTTTTTATTTAGCAAATAAATAGCATTTTTTTCCTTTATTGTTTTTCTTTTTTTTATAATTTTTTCAGCTTTTGTTTTTTAGTTGTTATTTTAATACCGTCTGTCACGAGAGTCCGAACGTGAGCGACGATCTCGGCTGCGGCTCCGGGTCAGCGATCTCCTGCGAGGACTGCGTGATCTTGACCTAAAAAATTAAGTACACTTTGATATCTCTCGTTTGAGCACGAAGGCGAGATTATTAGAGTTACGCATCTCCGCCCCGTCGCGAACTATTCAAATTATCGAGTAAATAACGAACTATTCAAATTATCGAGTAAATAACAAAATGTTAACTATTGATATCACTTTTGAGAATCTTGATATACTTTAAATTATCAATCAATGGTTTTCATCTTGATAAAATGACATTAAAATTGTGACGAGAAACAAGCGACTATATAATAAATCGCCAAAAAAGTTGCTATAATTTATATATATATATATATATATATATATATATATATATATATATAAATACACATATATAAATATAATTGTTATAATACATTTTAATATATTTTATCAGTAATTCTTTATTGCATAATTTGAAGAAATTGTATTTGGATCAATTATCATTCTAAGTCCATTCTAATTGCATTGCTAAAATAACAATTATCGATAAACAACTTTGATTATGCTAGCTAATAGCTTTTTTAAATCACTTGTTTACAGAAATCGCTTGTTTATCATCACGGCTGAAAAGTAATTATAAATTTCTTGTTCTGTAAAAATAACAATGCCGAATTCTGTACGAGGCGGAGCGGAGCAACGCCATAGAACACAGATATGAAAAACCATCGCAAGGCAACTGCAATAGAATTAGGATTATCTAACTCCTAATTTGCCTAGAGGGTGATATAAAAATTAGTTAGATACGATTAATAATTAATTAATTCAAAATGACGGCTCACCATAATAAATGCGAAATTAATCAAAGAAAATAGGATTATAACTTTAATAATAATAATAAAAAAAAAAAAGAATTAACAATCTTTAACAGTGAATGTTATATCTATAGATATATATCAATCTATTGATATATATATATCTATAGATATATCAATTTACTTATTTATTACGTGTGTTCTCAGCCGAGAGTTCTTCGATCCGATGAATCATTGTATCATCTAAAGAAGATCCTATTATGGACAATTCCGAAATTTCCTTTCTTTGTCCAGCCTTGATACAAAACTGCATAACAAACATCTTCACCGTATCGGTGGCACTCCTCGCCGAGAGAATGACACACAAATTCAAAACAAAGAATCAGCAAAAAAAAAAGGGAAAAAGAAATTACAACAAAAAAAAGAGAAAGATAGATAAATAGAGATAAAAAATCTTTGAAAATCTGTGTAATACCAGACAATTGTGAACATGTAGTGGTGGTTGGTTGGGTGGTGGTGGGATGGTGTGTAGGTGGTGATCTCTCGTTCGGAGGTCGATTGAAGGAGATTTTTCAGCGGTCTCTCGCGCGCAGTAGTCTCGACGTGGCTAATGCACACACGTCTAACACATTTTAAGTGATGGTCGACGAGTAGCAGTAGCAGTAGTAGTGGCAGTAGTAGCGGTAGCAATAGTAGAAACGTCGGTCTCTATGGACGAACGGTCGAGAGTCGTTTGCAGCCGAATGGACGCGCCAAGTAGAACGATTACTGAGTGGACAATTATTATTTTGCTCGACCTCATTATATGTATGCATCGCGGTTCGTTCAGATACAGATGGCAGCGGGTTGGTGGTTTTTTCTTTCACGGCGACGGAGGACTTTGCGGAGAACTCATTTTCGACGAAAACTCGACGTATGCGCCGTCGCCGTCCCCCGGATTAAAGCTGATCTCGAAGAGTCGAAGCCGGCGGCTGTGGTGGTGGTGGTGGTGGTGGTAGTGGTGGTGGTGGTGGTGGTGGTAGTGATGGTGGTGGTGGTGGTGGTGGTTGGTTGGTTGGTTGATTGATTGATTGATTGGTGGTTGGTTGGTTGGTAGTGGTGAATAGTGGTGAAAGAGAATAGTGGTGGTTTGTTTGGTCGGTCGAAGGGAGGAATCTCGTAGTAGAGTGGCGGTCGGTCAGACGGTTTTTTTTCGCTTTTTGTGGTGCAACGACGGGCGGGAGGACAACATCGAGAAAGAACAAGTTTTCTCGATCACTGGTCCGAAGAGAGCGCAGAGCGGCGGAATAGTTGATTTTCACCGTTGAGTGTGCTGTGTGCGTCTTGTGCGCGCAACGCGCACAAAAACGCATTTATATTGAGGACGATCATCACTTTGACGTGACGTGACGTGACGTGACGTGACGGACGTACGGACGGCTTCCTACCGGTGACTTGGTGGTGACTGATGGTGACTTGGTTGGTTGGGAAGTTAGTGGGCAGGCAGGCATATTTTTTTGTTCGAAGTTTTGCTTTTCGATTGCGACGACGATTGCGAGACGATTTAACATTTAGCTTTTTTCACGGCGGCTGAAGTAGTAGTAGTAGTAGCAGTAGTAGTAGTAGCAGTAGTAGTAGTAGCGGGGAGACGTAGAATCTGCAAACGTCAGTTTTAGCAATATAATCATCAACGTTATCACGCTCCTGGCCACTATTAACCGCGCGAATATCTTTTTCGATTCATTTCTTTTTTTTTGTTTCTTTTTCTCTTCTCTTTTCGTACGGATAAGAGGAGAACGAGATGTAACAATTGTATTGTAGACGCGCGCTTCTCGCTTTTCGCCGTACCCGATCGATTTGCATTCTCGTTATCCTAGACTGCCCACTCGAATGCGAATACGAAAGTAAAAAAAAGAAAAAAAAAAAGATATATTTATATAGAAAAAGAGAGGATCTCTCTGTGCCTCGTGCTGATATCGACTCCGATCTATGTGATGGATGTATTTCGCTTCGGTGCACCATCGGTCTCGTCGCGACGCACCAAGCGCAATATCGGCCATTGAATAGAGCTAAAAATTTACTTTGCGGATACACATAAAATTCTAAGCTTTTCAATCGCCCTCTTTAACACGACGTGCGTTCACGATGAGAAGTGACAGAAGCACGATTGATTGTTCGTTTCTTATCACCGTAATATTCGTTCGTAACATCGAAAATTCGCGCGAAAAGAAATAATACAAATATAGCCGTGAAAGCTTATCCACACATACACACACATACACTTGCATAACCGCACAACGCGTATGCACAAGGAAATTGATCAATCGTGTGTCTAATACAAAAGACATTCTCTTGCTGTACGGATCATGATTGGTTGATTTCTTTATGCATATGCATTATGTGACGATACAAATTTATCTGGATAGGCCTTGACAGTCACGGAAGAGTCACACGAAGAGTCCACACGTGCGGACCTTACGTCTCGTTGCTTGCGACTTCGAGTGCCGAACTGTAAGGGTTTCCTTCAACTTTAAAGCGCTTTGAAATTGACAACGACAGCATGCGCTCGTTCTCCTTTTCACGCTTGACTCGCTGACCTCGCGCTTGCCTGAGATCTCGACTCAACGCGCCCTGTTACCGCGCTTCCTTTCTACCCTCCTCGTCGTCGACGTCGTATACCGATCACGCGCGAATGCATTCGCAGAGTCCTGCCCTCCTCCAAAAACCCGCATACCGATCGAAAGCCCTACTCTCTCTTTTCATACCGCTGCTCGAGTGTCCACAATTAACCGCGATCTTGATCAACTACATCCTTTACTTGTTCAATCGTAAATTTCAACCGCATAGAGAACACGGCGATGGAACAGTCAATCGGCGAAATCTTTAAAATAAAATGAAAAGTAGACTTTACCCATCACCTTCGCATCACTTCGATTTCATTCTCATTTTGACTTTGTTCCTTTAACGAGGACCAATGTCGCGGGGGTCCTAGCGGTTTCCATCGCCGTTCTTCAGACGTCTCTATACGTCTCCAGATGACTATTATTCGTATTTCCCGTAATACATAGATATGTGTATATATATATATATATATATATATATATATATATATAATGCGTGCAGTACATATTATACGTGATATATTATACAAATGCAAGCTCACGGATTACGTAATATATGTATATACCTACTACACCGGTTTCGCTTAGCCAGGGCCGTAGATCCTGAAAACTCTCGTGAAGCGAGGATGTAATAGTGGCGTGAAAAAGAGAGAGGAGGGAGAGGATTAACATCAATCAATTACCTCGAGTACCGATTAAACGATGATCGCCTCGGGCTTCTCGACCAGGATCTACAAAAGATCAAGAAAAACTAATGTACGTCTTGTCTGCCAGTGCTTGTCTAATGGCCTCGTATCGCATTGAGATTTGACTTTCATTTAGTTTAGTAGTTGTACCTGAAAACTCTGGTTATCTTCGAGGAAGAAACGGGAGGTGAAAGAAAGAAGGGGAAAATAGCACAGAAAGAAAGAGAGAGATAGAGAGAAGCGAAATGGACGCGGGATTAAGAGGAACGAGAAAGCCTTACCTTGGATTATGACCCAGGGATTTCCTACGAGGACTGTGCGATCCGGACCTACAAATTTGTCAGAAAAAAAAAACAATATATCGCACGTAGATACGATTGTCTGCGGAAAGCGTATGCGAAAGGAGAGTAGAAAATGGTAAGAGTGATGAGAGACGCGTGAAAAAGTGACAAATTAGAGAGAAAAAGAGAGAGAGAAAAAAAGAAAGAAGAGGCAGAGAGAGAAAGAGAGACACGAGAATTGCTAAATGATACTTGAAAGATCATTATCTTGAATTTCGTTGTGATGAGGTAAAAAGATTAAAAGAGATTTTGAAAACTGGAGAGGAGATTATTGCAATCATGCTCGTTCCTAATAAATCAATTAATTATCATTTGTATGTATATTGAAAGATTCAATGTACATCTGATATTTCTTCTACTTCAACACAACAAAATTTATTTGTATCTCCGTGAGATATCTGTCCCTACTCGTGACTCGACATGCAGCAGCATTGATTCAGCCGCACTCTGACTAATCCCCAGCAACTTTCACCATAACTCATGCAACTGACTTAACAGAGTCGCGAATTTGCAGAAGACAAGGATTAGTCAGATGGCGAAGATCAAGAAAGTGATAAAAGAGAAAAAAGATAGACACATAGAAACACAATATGTGCACATGTGTATAAATATATAAACTATATACGTAATGCGTATGTATATGTAAGCACTCCTATGTAGAAACATTAGAGAAAATGGCGGTCAATCGAATTTTGCGACGACGCACGAAAAAGTAGTTGCATAGAAAAAGAAAAAAAGTCTCGTGCATTTCATTTTTCCCTGATCAATGACGCTCTTACGCTTGGTAAGAGAGAACTATCCACCATCATATGTATATATGTACATATATACCTACGTTGACAATGGATGTGCACCTGTAGCAGATTCTAACGTTTTCGTTTTCTTTACGCTGAAGTACACGTACTCACGTACTGACAGAGTACTCTTACCTAGAGTATCGTGGACCTGGTCTACGGCCACCACCACCACGCCGGCTTCTGCCTGAGGACATCTCAACTCTTACTCTGGTACCACAACAGCGTCTGCAATGTAGGAAACACAATGCTTAATACACTCAGATCTTAAAGCACGTGATACTCTCTATCATAAATTATTTGTCTATGACAGGGCTCGGTACATCTTGCCTTTTTCGACCGATTCTCAGGAGCTACGCCTTCTATCTCCCCCTTGCCGCGCGGCGGGCCTAAAAAGTGACGGTCGTGCCTCGAAGCTTGGAGCCGCGACTGGCCGCGACCGTCACTTGCATAGCCCGCTGCGCGGCAAGGGGAAAATAGAAGACGTAGCTCCCGAGAATCGGCCGAAAAGGATAAAATGTGTCAAACTCTGGTTTATGGCTTCTGTCCTTTTAGGGAAAGGTACATAGGTAGTTACATTGAACTTACGTTCCATCTAATCCTCTCACTGCGTCCTCAGCGTCTCGTGGATCTTCAAACTCTACGAAGGCGAAGCCAGGTGGATTTCTGGCAACCCAAACATTCCTCAGTGGACCAAATTTACTGAATGCACTTTCGATCTCATGTTTGCTGGCACTGCTGCCCAGGTTGCCTACATATACTTTGCAGGACAAGTCCCATTCGCGGTAGCGAGACATCTTCTAGCTGAACATAAAAAAAATATCATGATATTACTCTGGCAATTTGTACAAGTAGTTATATATTGAAGAAATAATATAAGTTTTTCATAATATAAGTGCGCGATTGCGCATCATAGAAATAATCACCCTGAGCGTGATAACTCGCACCGCCATTACAGTGAACTCATTAACGTAATTAAAATAAACAGAAAGGCTCATCAATAAGCGCTGCGGCTTAGCATGCGTCACTGAATCGCAATCCCTCCCCTTGGCGCAGTCCCCGATCTCTCTCCAAGAAGATCAAGACTTCGCATGACTTACATTCTATCAGTCAAAAACCGTGTAATCACGCCCAATTCATCAATTATTCGGTGAAATCCGCCATGTTACACGCGGCGTCTTATTTGTTTTTTTTTTCTTTCATTGCTTACTCCTTCCCGATCATTTGCACTTTTGCTTCTTCTACGTAAGGCATCTCGCAGAAAGCGTACGATCGATAGTCCGGTATCATTTGAAGTCTTATCTTTACGAGACTTGCTCCGTTGTTAACGCCAACAAGCCCCTCTGCCGTTATCCCGCCATTTTGATGAAACGCGACGAAGCATTTCTCGGTTTGGTATGAAACTGATGTTACGAGCTTTCTCTCTCTTTAAAGTCGCATATCACCCCGACGAAAGTCGAGAATTTCACTGTAATTGGGAGACAGCTTTACACGATAATCTTTTAATGCGTATTTACCTTTTTAAAAGATGAGAATGACACCGCCGGAGCTACAGCCGGAATACGACAGCTAGTACAAACGTGTACGTACGAATACAAGATGGCACCCAGGAGGTGCAATCTCACTCTTGTAAAAATTGGATCCCGTGTTTAGTGGCGTCCTCTGAAATAGTCTCCGGATGTGGGCGAACTAAACGGGTGACGTCATGCGGAGTGGGGATATGCGCCAATGAATATGAACTGGCGTGCATAGGCAGACGTTCTTGAAACGTTTTAGCGAGCAATAGCGAGCAACTGCGAGCAACAGCAAACAACAGCGAGTAACAGCGAGCACTAATATAAAGCTATAAATATATATATTATCTTATTACTAATCATTGTAAAGTAGTAATAGTGTAGTAATAGTACTAAAACAATTAGCTAAATCGTAGAAGTAGCAATTAGCCTACAATACCTATACAG